ATCTCCTCCCAGCTCCTTCACCAGTCAGGCTGTGTGCTCCGTTACTTGTGTTTGTGTGGGATAACCGCACTGGGAGAGAGGATCCAGCTGGGATTGTGCTGGAATAACTGTTACCCAGCCCAGTCTCACATGTTGCAATAACACCAGGACATTCCACATGACTCAACATGCAGAATTGCCAGACTAACAGAGAAATTCAAGAAAGGAGGGAGGGACTCTGTTTAGCTTACAACAAGCCTTACAAATCAGTTATTATATTTACATTACACAGTATATTAATCATCTTTTTTCCTGGTCTCATTTCTTTTCAGAGAAGGTGACTCCAGTGCTATAACTTTCTCTTGGCTGCAGACAAATTGTGGGTTTAGTCATTAGAATGTAATGTATTAAATGCACATCATTTGTCCTTTGGCTATGTGCAAAGCATAACCGGTATAGCGACATATTGAACATCCTTGAACATTTTTTGAAATGCAGTGCGATGAGTTTGGAGCCTCTGGATAAGATAAGCTAGATGGACTAGATAAGCTAGAAGGACTGAGTGTCCTTGCCTCGTTTGTGACCTCATGCTCTTATATTCTATTTGAGCCAGGAATCTTATTCACATGTTTGTAGAAGGACGCCAGGGTATCGGCTTCTACAGTTTGGCAGGCTAGCTTGTCCCATGCTCCCACTGCCCTTGAAGTGAAGCCTTATTTCCTGTTTTGGGGTTTACATGAGCATTCTCATCCAACTGTTCCTTGACAGAAGCCAGAGTATTGGCTTCAACAACGTGGCCGGATTGATTGTTCCACACTCCCACCTCCCTTTGCGTAATGAAGTTGAAAGTGTTAAATGCCCTTCCCTGTAGTTTCCACCTCTGTCCACTGGATGGTGTTTCCCTGTTGAGTCTGCAGGTCTCTGAGTTGGAACTGTCAATGTCTTTGGTAGAACAGTCCTCCCACAGACCACCTGTGCCCAAAGGGGGTTTTCCTCTTCGGAGGTGGGGAGATATGTTTGCCCAGCTGTCACCCTGATCATCATATGCACTCTCTGTCCCTGGAGCAGGTGCAGGAGGCACTGAAGGCCACAAAGGAGGGAATTCTGGAGAGGCAGAGGGGGATCGAACGCCTGGATGCTGCCACTGAGAGCCTGAGGGTGAGTAGAGCGAAAGACTGGGAATCTTTAAACACGGACTGTCGGATTGTCGGACAAGTAGCAGCAGAAATGGATAAGGAACGTGGTGTTTTCAAGGAGAATTACTATGAATAGTAAACATCTCTCACTGTTTCATAATGCTGCAAGCATCTAAATTACCTTATTTCTGTTTCACATATACAGAGTCAACGTTAGCAGGCAGAGACAGCTGTTTCCCACTGTTAGGGTTGATCAGCAGGGCATCGCTGGTTGTGACCAGTGAAACAGACACATTTTACAAGGAACAACTTTAAGAGTCAAAGTATAGTCACAGCTAATTCATATTTACTCCTGCAATGGATATTTAAAACTCTCGCATTTTAATGAAAAATAAACCCAAAATTCTGCTCTGCTGGTTTCTGAGTAGCACACCTTGTGGAGGTGCTCGCCCATGATCAAGACGAGATCAGTGACCACGGGTTCGAGCCTGGGTCATGTCACTGTCTGTGACTGAGATCTCCCCATGTGGCAGTGCACAGTTGGCTAGGTGCAGCTGAGGGGAAGTTGGGATTAGTTGGCCAGGCTTTAGCTGGTTTACTAGCTACAGAAATACAGCGCCCCCTGTGGCCTCCTGGGTACTTGCAGGCGTGTGGAGCTGTCCGAGAGGGACATTGCTCTCTGCTGATCTCCGCCTGTGATGTGTCAAAGGACGAGCGGGTGGGAGGTGGGTGGGGCAGACGAGCCTGTGTGCACTGTCCTCGTTCTTCCCCGTGTGCGGTAACGGGGTTTGAGGTGTGAAAGTCACACTCCGCCCCTCACCGTTTCGCTCCCCGACAGGCATCTCTGGCCCAGGAGCGGATGGAGTGCGAGCAGACCCTGGCGCAGCTGGCCGAGAGCCTGGCGCAGCTGAGCGGGCAGGCAGCCGAGCTCTTCCGCCGGGCGGAAGAGGAGAGCGTGAGCCGCTCGGCGGAGATCCGCCAGCACCTGGAGAGAGAGCTGTCCGAGCTGAGGAAGAGGGAGAACAGCTGGAGCCAGCTGGCACTGAGAGAGAGCACTGGGGAAGAGGCGCTGGTGAGTGGGAGTGGGCTCTTGAATCAGGTGCCCTCATAATCTCCTCTGTATCAGACTAAAAAGATTAACATCTTGAATCAGTTCAGTATAGAAGCTGCAATACTTGTTTTATAATGTGCTGACCAAAATAGTCTACAGTAAATGCCATCTGCCAGGTGTTTGCCTAGCTTTGAATTTTATCTTGGTCTTCTTACGTTTCATGTGCAGCTCCTACAGTGTTTGCTAATCCTCCTATTTTGCTATCGCCTGCAAGCCTGACTGGTTCACTAACTACCCCAGAATCTGGTTCCCTGATTTGAATGCAGGAGGGAAGTGCCTGTAATTTGAGTTAATCTGTCACGGTGTAGCAGAGCCTCGTGGCACAAGGGGCTCTTATCTCCAGCACAGGAAAACAGCACCACACAGTGAACCACAGCTCAGCTCTGCCAGCTCTTTTGACTTAACTCCTTCAGTCCTCTGGCTTTTTCAAACACAGGCAAAATTCCAAATTGCCATCCCAGTCTTTTTCTCTGGATCTCTCCCTCTCTCCCTTCCCGGTTCCCAGTCAAGACGTTTTTGTCCTTGACAATGTCTCCCAAGCCTGTCTCGGCTTCTGATATCTAGCCCATGGAATCTTGCAATGAGACGCCATATCCCTTTATTCACATGTGATCACCTGCTAGAGCTGCAGCATTTGTTTCTCACGTTTTGCTCTTAACTTTGTTCTGTTTTGTCTCTCAAACTCCTGGTACTTAATGTAACTACCTGGTCTTTTTCCTTTAAATCAGGATCCCTTGCAGGCATCTCTGTTCAGAGCTGAACAGGTTCATTAGCCTGTCAGTCTTGGGACACTCCTCTGAGCCCAGGAGTGCTTCTGGCTGCCCTTTCCTGAACAGAAACTGCACATGTGCTTTGTTTCCCAGATTTGCATGTGAATGTGTTTTACCATTCCAGCAAAACGAACAGGGGAGGAGCGTCTCTCGCCTCACCTGTGCGGCGGTCCTCACCTCTCGGGCCTCTTCCTTTCCCCCCAGGAGGCCCAGACCCCCGCCGCGCCCCTGCCCAGCGAGCCCAGCCACTACGATCTCACCACGCTGTCGTTCGGAGACCTGAGGGCCATGCTGACTGCGCTACACAGACGCCTGGAGGAGGTGTGCACACAGGAGCTGCAGAGGGCCTGGAGACCAGGTGGGTCTGAGTGGAGAGCAGGTGGTCCATCACTCACTTGGGTTCCCTCTCTCCTGGAGACTGAGCAGCACTGAGCCCATAGCAGCGGGAACTGGAGCTCTTTGCTGGAGCACTGGAGCTCTTTGCACAGGGTAGCTTTACCATTAACGTTCGGGAGGGATGACAGCAGCCAAGTTTAATCAGCCTCAGCTGCCTGCAATGTGCAATCAGTCATGATGTCATTTCCTCCCTTATACATTATTTATACTGAACGTGATCCCCTTGTCTCCCTCACATTCCTCTTGTATATCCCTTCTGCCCCCCGACTCCACCTCTGCAGCTGCCCCTGGGACACTCCTCAACCTGCAGGGGGTCCCAGCCCCTCGTCCTCTTCATCCTGTGGTCAGGAGGTCAGCCCTCAGCCAAGAGGGTTGAGCCAAATTATTGTAGATCAAGATACCCAAGTAACCTCTCAATACGCCTGATTCTTGCCTGTTCTCAGTGCTAGTGAATTCATTTAGCTGCTCACCCACACTCACCCTCAGGTAAGATCAAGGACAGGGGTGTCTGTGAGGAAGCTCCACAGCACCTGCCTGATTATGTCACGGACTCCAGCCCTTTCCCTATGAGCGACCCCTGAGTGAACCACAACAGACTTGGAATTGACCTATGGGAATTACTGGCTCTGCTCCCCCAACATGTGACATTCTGCTCAGCTGAGCCCTTGATTAATACACGTGGCATTTCTTTCTCTCTGTTTCTTTCAGTGACTGTATTTGCCTTCAATCCGATGAAGACCAAACTCCAAGGTGGGTGTGTCATCTCTACTTCATATTCCCACAGCATGTTTCCCCTGTGCATCCTCTCAATGGCAATGAGTTCTTCATTCCCTCTGTCATCCATGGCCACAGGTCACAGGACCTGATCACACTCAGACCTCAGCTGCAGGACAGGACAGGATGTTCAGTGTCTTGTAGGACCTGATCACACCCACACCTCAACTGCAGGACAGGACAGGATGTTGAATGTCTTATAGGACCTGAGGATGAGTAACTGTCGATATATCGGCTTTATCTCAGACTCTCACATTAGCAGATGCTTTGTGGGTTTGCAGACAGAGATCAGCACTCTTTCAGACAAACAGGGACAGTGCTCTGCTTGTTCTGCTAAACCTTTCAACGCCCTGAGTATGTGGTTAGAGAATACGGGTCAGTTGCAGTTTCATGTTCTTATTAAAAAGTACTACGTACTTTCACGTGTAGCAGGGCAGGTTCTTCAGGTTTTTTCACCGAATGCCAGCACAGCTCCCACGCTAGTAGGACTTGACAAAGTATCGTATCTCTGTATCTCAGGATGGCTGCCAGGTCAGAGAAGACTGGGTAATGATGTCTTGGGAACAGGAGACTGTGGCAGACCAACTAAAGAGAGGGCTGCAATTACAGCCAACCTGCCAGTATAGGCCACTATACAAGCTAGAATCACTTGCCAATAGCCACACTAGCTGTGTCTCATGTCATGGTTGGTTAATTGATGAAAGGTTTAGAATGTCACATTCTCACATAGGTCCGGTTAAGCTGGTATATAGAGGATTTACACGGTGCTGGTGTAGCAGAGCTAGTTCAGACCCGGTGACGTCATCGCCCTCCCTGCGCGTAGCAGGGACCTCAGCTGCCTGGGCTGAGGGAGGTCTCCTTTA